TGGCATATAGTGCCTTCAATAAACTGTCCAACATCTGGAAATCAAAGACACTTAGCAAACACACAAAACTAAGATCTTCAATTCTTGTGTGATTCCAGTACTAACCTATGGATGCGAGAGCTGGAAATCAACGAAAACTCTAGACACAAAATTAGACAGTTTTTAAAATAAATGCCTTAAAAGAATACTAAATTTCAAATGGTCAGATTTCCGAACCAATACATAAATAAGGCAAGAATCCAGGCAAGAGTATGTGTCTAATTTTATACGAAAACGCCGCTGGAACTATGTCGGCCACGCCCTTAGAATGGATAAATCAAGACTTCCTTACCAAGCCCTCATTTGGACACCACAGGGGAAAAGATCTCGTGGAAGACCAAGGGAAACCCTACGTAGAACTATCATCAGGGAAGACTCACTCATGGGCCACTCAAACATCCAAGACCTACACCAGATTGCAACGAACCGCCATGCATGGAGAGTCATGACCTCTGCCCTATGTGCCGCACTCGACACAAGAGGAAAGACTAACTAACTAAATCATCATCATCATCATTATTACTAGGGGAGATGCGCTCAAGGAAGTGATACGCAATTCCATTTATCAACATTCACAAAATGAACCAGCAGCAAACAAAATAGTCGGGCGGTTCCTGTTGGCCTGGCGTGTGGTATGTGGCTCTAGAATCGTTAGGGTGCTAAACTGACGTTTTTGTAGGCACCAACCGGATAGCAACAAGAAATCTTGTAGTGTAGTTCGGATCAATTTATGTTGAGTACAGTTTTTTATATGCATATTTATAATAATACCATCGTTTTTAAATGATGCACATTTTATAAACTAAAACGTTCACAATGTGCTATAGTCGCAACTAGATTATGTTTCAATCAAATCTCTTGGCGGTAACTGTCAAAGATTCCACTTCTGATAAATTAAAATAACCGGTGATTATATTCCTTGAACAAGAGGAAGGATATTGTGCGCATGCTCAAACTCTTTAGTTCAAGATCCGGCGTCACCTCTTGGCGGTCCATGTTACAAGTCAAAAACTCACACAAAGAGTAAACACAATTTGAACAAACAAAAATCGCACACTGTTGTGTTTGAATGCCAACACGTTTTGTGACACAGCAGTAGGAAATAGGTTTCCGGCCTCGTGGGACGCCAGACAATTTGATCTGCTGTTTGCAGTGGCAGAGTTCCGATAATACATTTCTGAGACATTGTTTTCTGAATGTGAAACAAGGATTTGGCAGTTTGCTTGCCAGTTCAATTGTCTGTATATATGTCTGTTGAACTTGCTGGAGCAACTGCCTAGTTACTTGCAAATCTGCTTACTTGCTCGAGCAACTGCCTAGTTACTTGCAAATCTGCTTACTTGATCGTATTTCTGCCTACTGATCTCTACATACAACTGCCTGCTTGATTGTCCCCCCCTTGTCTGCTTGCACGCACGTCTATTCACTTGCATGTACATCTTTTATAGTGAGCAGGGATATTGCTTCCTAGAGTCATACTAACTCGTCCTACAAGGTCTTCTGCCTGTGCTACCTAGAGTCATACTAACTCGTCCTACAAGGTCTTCTGCCTGTGCTACCTAGAGTCATACTAACTCGTCCTACAAGGTCTTCTGCCTGTGCTACCTAGAGTCACACTAACTCGTCCTACAAGGTCTTCTGCCTGTGCTACCTAGAGTCATACTAACTCGTCCTACAAGGTCTTCTGACTGTGCTACCTAGAGTCATACTAACTCGTCCTACAAGGTCTTCTGCCTGTGCTACCTAGAGTCATACTAACTCGCCTTACAAGGTCTTCTGCCTGTGCTACCTAGAGTCATACTAACTCGCCTTACAAGGTCTTCTGTCTGTGCTACCTAGAGTCATACTAACTCGCCTTACAAGGTCTTCTTCCTGTGCTACCTAGAGTCATACTAACTCGCCTTACAAGGTCTTCTGTCTGTGCTACCTAGAGTCATACTAACTCGCCTTACAAGGTCTTCTTCCTGTGCTACCTAGAGTCATACTAACTCGTCCTACAAGGTCTTCTGCCTGTGCTACCTAGAGTCATACTAACTCGCCTTACAAGGTCTTCTGCCTGTGCTACCTAGAGACATACTAACTCGCCTTACAAGGTCTTCTGCCTAGGTGTCCGCGTGGAAAGATTGAGGCACTAATAACATGATATTTGCTACAAGGCAGTTGCAGAAAATATGTCAAGAGCAAAATTTTGATTTGTTATAATTCTTTATTCACCTGAACAAAGCTTTCGATATAGTCAATATAGATGGACTGTGGAAAGTCATGACAGAATTTGGCTGCCACAAAAGTTTATAATATAGAAGCAATTTTATGAAGGAATGCAAGCACGCGTTCAGAAAAATGGACAGCTCTCAGAGCCTTTTATGGTCTTAAACGGAGTAAAGAAAGGGTAGAGGCTTGCACCAACACTGTTCAGCATCATATTATCCGATATGCTGATTGATACCTTCAGAGATGGGGA